GTTTTTGCTTATGTGGTGCTGAGGAATTGAACCCAGGGCCTCAGGCATGCAAGGCAAGCGCTCTACCACTGAGCCAACTTCCCAGCCCGCAAAAACAGATTTGAGAATCATGGAAAAGATCTTTCTTCCTAATGCTTAACTTTTTTTTTTTGGGGGGGGGTAAGAAAACTTGGTGGAATTTTGTTGAGTAAGTAAGCAAGCAGGCAAAAAGACAAGCAGACAACAAAAGACAGACAAATAAAAGGGCAGGAGCACACTCTAGCAGACTGTGGATGCTCTCAAAGGGAGATAGTGAAAGAAACACCCTGATGCTAAACTTTAAAAAAGATAGATTTTTAGGGGCGCTGGTGGCTCTCGCCTGTAATCCTAGCTACTCAGGAGGTTGAGATCTAAGGATCAGAGTTTGAAGCCAGCTTAGGCAAAGAAAGTCCAAGAGACTCTTCAGTAAACTACTCAGAAAAAGCCGGAAGTGACACTGTGGCAAAGCTCAGGGACAGCATCCAGGCCCTGAGTTCAAGCCCCAGGACCCAGAGGGGAAAAAGATTTCTGGGAATGAACAAAACTACATAATGCATGTGTACTTCTTGAGTTTCATATATATCTAAATCTAATATCTATTTAAATAAGAGCTACTTATTTTTTCAATTCATAATCACTTGAGTTTATTCAGCCTGTTATGTAAGTAGGCACTTCTGAAATATTTGTTCACTTGATCTTACACACAAAAATTGAGAAGCTATGCACTGCAAGTTGTTTTGTTGTTTTTTTCTTTTGGCCGTAGTGAGATTTCAATTCAGAGCCTTATGCTTGCTAGATAGGCTTTCTACCACTTGAGCTAAAATATTTGTTCAAAGCATGAATTTCCATATTATTATATCTCTGTTTCTTAGGAGTTCTGGTGTTACACAATTAAGTCTTCTGGAAAGCGTGTATAGAATGTTCCGGAAGGATGACTTGCTTTCAAACGTCACTCGCCAAGCATTTGTAGATCGTTCTCTCCTTACCCTGTTGTGGCACTGCAATCTGGATGTTCTAAGAGAATTCTTTAGCAAAATTGTGGTGGATGCCATTGATGTGTTGAAGTCCAGGTTCACAAAGGTATTACATATTGTATTAAACTATTAATGAGAATGCTAGGGTCATTAGAGACTGCTGTGTACTCATTCAAGGAGTATTCCTTCTGAGCTAACAGCAGCATTTCACTGCAGATGGATCTGTACCAGTTCAGTGCACCAGTTCACTGTGGCGGCTCTACCGTTTGCTAGCATGATGGCTTAGAATAACAAAAATGGATTTTCTCACAGTCCTGGGCCAGAAATTCAGAGTCAGTTTCACTGGGTCCCTTGTGGTTTGGGGAGGTCACACTTCTTGTTGTGGAGACTGTTGCGGAAAAGCCTTTACTTGTCTCTTACAGCCATGAGTGGTTTTGGCATTCTTGAGCGAGTGCTGATGTCACTTCAGCCTCTGCCTCTGTTGTCAAATTAGCTTTTCCTGTCTGTCTATTATCCCTTTATATTCGTTCCTAAGTTTACATGTGGCTTCATTTAGGGCCCATCCAAACCATCCACAATTACCTCCGTATCTCTGGGTCCTTAATTTAAATATATCCCAGAGTGTTTCTTGTATTGCTGTGTGAGGAAGATAACATCACAGATTCCAGGAACTAGGACATCTTTTGGATAGTTTTCATGGGGACATCATTGATTCCCACAGGTTACTTTTAGAGATAGCATAAATTGTAGATGGTACATTTTTGATGTAAACTTTGAAACAGTTGTGAAATTGAAATTTTAGTATATTAGGTTTCTTACTTGTTCCAAACATGCCTTCCATAAGACTGTAAATATTGTATGTCCTAGGCTCACTGTTTGCACATTGTATGATATTTTGTGCTTTACCTCAGTGCTACATCTGTATTGGAAACCACAAACAACAGGGTATACTCTTACTGAAGTCATTTAGCATGTTTAGTAAGCTAATTTTCTAAGTAAGGGCATTAAATATTAAATTTTATATTTTGAATAAGATGTTTTTCATTTTTGAGAAGACCAAAGATAATTACTTGTTATTTTTTCTAAGCTAAGTGAATCTATGTTTGACACTCAAATCACCAAGAAGATGGGCTATTATAAGATAATAGATGTGATGTATTCTCGTCTTCCAAAAGATGATGTTCACTCTAAGGATTCCATAATTAATCAAGTTTTCCATGGCTCCTGTATTACAGAAGGAAATGAACTTACAAAGACACTTATTAAGTAAGAATTTACTTATTTTTGATTCTGTTTGATTTGCTAATATTTTTGCTGCACATGTTTTTGTGCAAGTATATAGTACAAAAGAATGTTTCACTTAAATGCTTATCTTTTATAGTTTTCCACAACATATAAGACTACAAACTATTTAGATTGGCTTTTGTGTGTTACTGGATAACATGTTTTATGCCATACTAATGAATCAAACCTTAGACTACTCTGTAGATAAATTGTATGTTCAATGCTAGTATGTTCAATGCTCTGGGTTCTGTCTTCACTAATAAAAAACAAAAACGAAATCCTTTAAATTCTTTTGCTGTTCTTCTCTCCCTCCCTACCCCCATTTTGTACCGTTCCCTTGCAATAACGATATATAAAACTACACCACATTTTTTTTCTTTTTCTGTGTCAGTGTTGGGGCCTGAACTCAGGGCCTTGTGCTTTTGCTTAGCTTGTTCCACTCAATACTATGGTATTACCATTTAAACCACAGTTCCACTTCTGGCTTTTGGTAGTTCATTGGAGATAAGAGTCTCACGGACTTTCCTGCCCAGGCTGGCTTTGAACTGGGATCCTCAGATCTCAGCCTCCTGATTACAGTGTGAGCCACTGGCGCCCATCTCCATCATTACATTTTAAGTGATTTACAGTGAGAAGTGATTTTGTTTTTTATGACTATTATTTGAAGTTTAAACAGTTTTAAATATCTTAAGAGACATTGTATAAAACTCAAAGTATTAAATACTTTTTCTTAAATGCATTAGTCTTCAAATGAAGTAAATCCAAGTACGACAGACTATGCTGTGTCTCATTGTGTATCTCTCAACACACTTTCTACTCTCCCAGCCCAGGCCATACCTTACCCTCTTAGTGAAGAATGGATTTTACCATCCATCCACACTCACTTGCTTACATAAGATTCAGGGGTCATTCTTGCTTCATCTATATTTCTCCAGACTCCATGAACAACACCCTGTTTCTCACTAGATCTCCCAAATTTTATCCCTTCAGTGTTGCTGAAATCAACGCCCTCGATTCTAAATCAACGCCCTCGATTCTATTTTTCTTCTGTGGTCTCATTTTACATGTGATGTTCTTTTTGAGCCATTGTAGGCATCTTTAAAGTTACTTTCCCTGGTCCTGGTTGATCTCTTCTTGCTGTGGTAACTCTACACTGCTGTAGAGTATTAGTCTGCTTGTTTCATTCCCCTACTTAAAATTCTCAGTGGCACCTGGTCTTTAGTAGCAGGAATGGATACTACTTTATGGAAAGAACCAGATAGTAAGTATTTCTGGGTTTGTGGGCCATGTATCTGTCTCAGTTATGATATTGTACCATAAAGAATGTGTTGGTAATATGTCTACAGTTGTGCATGGTTAGATTCTATAAAAATTATTTGGAAAAGTGGCTAACTTTGTGGTTTGGAACTCAGTCCTGCTGTATGAGGTCTATACAGAGCAGGCAAATGGCCAAGGACACACCTCTTCCTCTCACTGACTTAGTGGACACCTTCGATTCTCCATCCTCCCAGTGTACTGCCCAGTGTATCCATTCATTTAAGTGATATTGCAGTCTGCTCTATGTGCCTGCGTGCTAACTTACATTTCAAAACTCAGTCCAGCCAGGTGCTGGTGTATCATACCTGTAATCCTCGTTCCTCAGAAGTCTGAGATTTGAGGTTTATGGTTCAAAGTCAGTGCAGGCCAAGAAGTCTGTGAGTTTCTTATCTCCAATTAACCACTAAAACCCTGAAAGTGAATATGTGACTCAAAGTAGTAGAGCACTAGCCTTGGGGAAAAAAAAAGTGCAGGAACAATGCTCAGCCCTGACTTCAAGTACCAGGAACAGCACACACAAAAACAAAACCAAAAACAAACAAAAGAACAAAACCAAAAAACTCAGCTCAAGCCAGACAAAGTCTTGTCTCACCTATTCAGAAGGGTGAGGTAGTGGGATCACAATCTCAGGACTGGGCCATATAGCAAGACTCTGACCTTTAAACAAGCAAAACTTCCCTCAAACTCTTATCAGCTAATTTTTCTTTATCTTTTTCTGATTTTCTTTGTTTCTTTCTGTATGTGTATGTGTGGGGGTGTGGTGTGGTATGTGTGGCACTGAGGCTTGAACTCCAGGCCCGTGTGTTGCCCCTTAGCTCACTTATAATCCGAATCTACTTTTCAGGTTATGCTATGATACATTTACGGAGAATATGGCAGGAGAGAGCCAGTTGCTGGAGAGGAGACGACTTTACCATTGTGCTGCATACAACTGTGCCATTTCTGTTATCTGCTGTGTCTTCAATGAATTGAAATTTTACCAAGGTTTTCTGTTTAGTGAAAAACCAGAAAAGGTAGACCTCACCAGAGGTGTTCCGTAGGGTTGTTATTGCAAGATTTTAAAAGTTAAATTTTATCAATAACTTTATATCATAATTTCTACCTTCTGATAAAGTTATAAAAAGTGTAAAGCATAGATGCATTTTAAATCTGAAGTGATTTCAGTGATTTAATATGAAAAAATAATTCTGTAATATATTAGTAATAAGGATCTCTGCCATTTTACACATTTTTATGTGATTATTTTTGATTTATAGAACTTGCTTATTTTTGAAAATCTGATAGACTTGAAGCGCTGTTACACATTTCCTATAGAAGTTGAGGTGAGTGAAATTGTTAGTTTTGTTTTTATGTTAAAAAAGCTTATTAATTGCTCATAGAGGAAAAACAGAATGAACAATATTAAGTATTAAAGTTTGCTTCTAATTACAAAAATGGGCAGTTTCATTGAGGTATCATCTTAAGCAACTCCAATGGAATTATCCAGAAGTTGTTTTTTTTTTTTCTGAGTTGTGAAAGAAAGAATATCAACAAAAGTAGCTTTTTGGACATATTTCAGATGCCATTTTTTGAGTAAATTCCTCTAGTCAGAGAAATTCAGTTTCATACTGACAGGAATTTTGGCCTCATGGCCTTGCATGTATGATCTGACAGATTGATGGAGAAGCAATGGGACTACCTGGAGAGTTATCCAGCACATAGGACAAACTATGAGGTGTTAGCCTAGCTCACTTTGGGTGCCAGCCCTAGGATTTGATGAGAAAGTCATGGCTCCTGCCTTTATGTCTCATTTGAAATAGGAAGATGGGTAGAACACCAACCTCACATAGTATAGACTGTATATTCCCGGCCCAACTGTTGGCTTCCGCTGTCTTAGTTCTTCTTTCGTGTGTATGAATTACTGCTGCTTGCTGTGTGCTCTTTGGAAACAAGAGTAAGTTATTTGTTGAAAGCTCCCCTAAAGTCAAATAGTACCTATTTATGTAAGTGTGCAGATACTCCCTGTATGTTATTTATATACTATAATGTGGATGTAACATATAGCAAGTATAAGATGCTTACATCATAGCTATGTAATTAAAGAAACTAAGGCTCTAATGTCAAGTAAAAACTATTGGCAATTGAGGAATGGTGGTCTGTGACTGAGGAAGCTTAGCATACCCTATGTTAAGTAAGTTACACTAAGGCCAAGTACGTCTGTAGGGTACTTGGGAAAGGCTTTGTATGAGAAGGATAAGGACGCGCGCACGCACACACACACACACACACACACACACACACCAACCACACACTTTTAAATGAATGCTTTCATATACTTTTAAATTTGGTAAAATGTTTATTTAAAATTACTTATTTTGGGATGTAGCTCAGAGGTAGAACATTTGTCTAGCATGCATGAGACCTTGGGTTTTAATAATAATAATATAATAATAACCTGTGGATTTTTTTGCTAGATTGCTATAAAAATAAAAAGTGTGACTGAAATATTTTAAATGGTGCTATTGTTTTAATAGGTTCCCATGGAAAGAAAGAAAAAGTATTTTGAAATTAGGAAAGAAGCCAGGGAGGCGGCAAATGGAGGTTCAGGTAGGACATTTAAAAAATGATTAGATTAGAAAGTTTCTAATAGTTGGTATTTATGTAAACAAGATTACATTTTAAACACTCCAAAACACTGAAATTGAGTTTTTTAAAATACATTATTTTTGGGCTGGGAAGGTGGCTCAGTGGTAGAGTGCTTGTCTCCCAGGCATGAGGCCTTGGGTTTGATTCCTCAGCACCACATAAGAAGAAAAAGCTGGAAGTGGTGCTGTGGCTCAAGTGGTAGAGCGCTAGCCTTGAGCTGAAGAGCTGAGGGACAGAGCCCAGGCCCAGAGTTCAGGCCCCATGACTGACAAAAAATTTTAAAAAAATTAAATATTATTTTCAAGTGACTGCTGGAATTAAAATTTGAAAGAAAAGTAATTAGCTAAATTTAACTAATAAGTTCTCTTGGGAGGGCTGAGGCAAGTCTGGTTTGATGTTTGTTTTTATATGGACATGGAATATGTTAGTATTTTATCTGTACACATTCAGAAAGCAACATTAGAGATTGTAAGTCTTCCTGACATTCTTCTCTTCGAAATGTTTTAGGTTACAAGAGTTTTAGCTGCCATAGGGCCTGTTGCCCTCCTTTCTGCACTCTTCACTTGGGTTCTGGTTGCAGTTATGCCTGGGGGTTCAGGGTTTGTTTCAGCCTTGGGCATTTGTGTTTTTGGCTCCTCTGACACTCTTAGCTCTGGACATCAGCTTCCCTCAGCACATTGAATTTAAATCCTATGAAGGAAACTCTCCCTGGTCTCCCTGTTTAAAGTTAACCTTCTGTCCTTCCACATGCTCCTTGTTTTAATTTTTAAATTTTTTTCTCCTTTATTTTTCTGTGTAAGTTTGTGTGTGTGTGTGTGTGTGTGTGTGTGTGTGTGTGTGTGCACGCGCACACACACACTAATACTGGGGCTTGAGCTCAAGTCTGAGCAATTTTCCACTCAACGCTGACATTCTACTACTTGAGTGATGCTCCATGTTTGGGTTTTTTTTTTTTAGTGGTTAACTGGAAATAAGAATCTCTAGGACTTTTCTGCCCAAGCTAGCTTTGAAATGTAATTTGCAATTCTCAGATTTTAGCCTCCAGAGTTGCTGGATTATAGGAGTTAACCACTAGCCTGAAATGTTGCAGCCTTGCCTTAGTCTTTGAGTGCTGGGATTTCAGCCATGTCTTTCATGTCTGACTTCATCATCAAAATTTAAATTCAGAGTAATTCTATTAAAAATTGAAACCAGTTTAATTTCTTTGTAATTAAACTGGAAGAGTGTTTCATATTGACAAAAGACAGAGGTTTTATCCTCAGTTCCTTTTTGTTTGTTAATCTGTACAGTGGTTGGAGAGTCTCAGGGTTGAATAAAGCCTTAGCTAAAAGTATCCTTTAATTTTAATATCATTTGAGTGGAGAGAAATACTTTTCTTACTATTTTTGAACCCATGTGTTTTCTTCTTATTTTTCAGATGGTCCTCATTATATTTCTTCCTTGTCATATATGGAAGACAGTAGCCTGAGTGAGGAAATGAGTCAATTTGATTTCTCAACTGGAGTTCAGAGCTATTCCTACAGCTCCCAAGACCCTAAATCTACTATTGGTCATTTTCGGACACGAGTAATCACATTTCATCTATTAAAAGAGTATTGATAAAGTTTGTAAAGATCACAGCTATACTAGTGGATGCCAATTTTTTTTTATCAGTTGTCTTTGGAGAGTAGTTGTGGAGAGTAGTGTTAATCAGAAGATTTTAGCAAGAATTCTTATCATTTGATCTAGTAAACATAGAAATCTGATTTCATCAGCACAGGAAGCAAATTTTGAGATCAGGGTCAAGGTAGGGGTATGCTCTGACTTGGAGTGCTTCCCCAGGGAGTGACTGGCCAGATGGAATCTGGAGAAAATATGTGCCTGGAGTATAAAGAAAACTGAGGTTCTGTTCACTCTTTAGTTACTAATTAAGAAAACATGTGAAAGCCAGGTGCTGGTGGCTAAAGCTTGTAATTCTGGCTACTCAGGAGGCTGAGATCTGAAGCCAATCTGGGCAGGAAAGTCCCAGGACTGTCACAAAAGTCCCCGGACTGTCACAAAAAAAAGAAGAAAACATACCAAATGTATTGGCTATTATTAGCAAATTATTAAGTATGTATTAATGTGATATTACTCCCCAGATGAGCATCTCTGGTCAACTGACATTTGAGATTTCACTGGATTCTTTCCTTCACAGGAACGACAAGACCCTAAGATCCAAGATGATGTTTTGGAGTTAGAAATGGATGAGCTCAATCAGCATGAATGTATGGCAAACATGACAGCACTGATTAAGCACATGCAGAGAAACCTGACACCCAAAGGAGAAGAGGTGTTTTTCCTACTAATCTTCTATTGTGTTTATATTTTTTAGTGACTTATTGAGAATTAACATTTTATATGGAAATGTAAATGACATTTCATATCAAACTTTTTTTTAACTGTTTATAACTTACTTTTTTATTGCTTTTTTACCGTATTAAATGTGAGGTCTTTTTTCTTTCTACATTTTAAAGTAATTCTGTCTATTTCAGGGTTCAGTGTCAAAAGATTTTCCTCCTTGGATGAAATTTATTCATGATAAACTAGGAAATTCAACAGTACCGTTAAATATCCGTCTCTTCTTAGCCAAGCTTGTTATTAATGCAGAAGAGGTAATTTCTTATTTCTTTAACAGTTCTTTGTATATTTGTACATCTGCTTAATTAAATAGCACAACAAAAGAAGCTATAAAAGGATAGAGCATGACATTACTGTTTTTTGTAAGCATATGTAATCAATCAATTAAGGCCCTGAGTTAATTTATTGCAAAAACATTATATTGAACTACTTCAGCGTTTTTTTGTAGTACTAGGATCTGAATTCAGAGCCTTAAACTTGCTTTAGAGTGCTTTACTTCTTGAACCATGACCCTGTATCTAATTTTTCAACATTCTCTGAGCAAACATGTTAATTAATTTGTACTGAGTTAAATGTAAATTTATACAAAGTACATGTGGCAACTTTCTTAAGGCTTTATAGTAGCAGAATAATGGGTGAAGATATTCCTATTGACTTTATAAAAATAGCCGAGTTTCTTCTCTTATGTACGTGCTGAATTTAATAGTTTGTCTGTACACATTACAAGTATTAATGGAATACCTTCCACTAAATGAGAGTTAAGTATATTTTGGAAACAATCCTGAACTTAGCCTGGTTAAATGTAGAGTGGGTTGGACTTTGTGAAGAAGTTCTTCTGTAAGAAGAAGTGGGCCCCGAAATCTAGATGCTAGTGGGTCATACCTGTAATCCTACTACTCAGGAGGCTAAGATCTGAAAATTGTGGTTCAAACCTAGCCTGGGCATGCATACAAATCACAGAGAATTCCAACTAACCACCAAAAAAACTGAAAGTAAAGCTGTGGCTCAAGTGATGCCAACCTTCTGTGATATCTAAGCAAGAGCACAAGGCCCTGGGTTCAAGTTCTAATACCGTATTAGCATCCTTCACACCCCTGAGCTCTCTAAAAAAGAAATAGATCCTGAGAGAGCTAACATGTCTGCAGTGGTAGCATGGACCATTGGGACATGATCTGCATGCAAGGCATACGAGAAGTGGGTGAGTTGGGCCAGGCTATCTGAGATTTTCTATTACATCTGGCTCATTTGTTGAGTCATTAGAAAGTCCTGCTAGGTGCTTGGCAGGTTTTTGGCAAACTCAAAAAATTCATTCTGGGCCAGGCGCTGGTGGCTCACGCCTGTAATCGTAGCTACTCAGGAGACTGAGATCTGAGGATCTCGGTTCAAAGCCAGCCCAGGCAGGAGAGACTGTGAGACTCCTATCTCCAATAAACCACCAGATAACCGGAAGTGGCGCTGTAGCTCAAGTGGGAGAGCGCTCGCCTTGAGCTGAAGAGCTGAGGGACAGCGCCCAGGCCCAGAGTTCAAGCCTACAACCGACCAAAAAAAAAAAAAAATCATTCTGGGACTGCAGCAGGGCCCACTTTCCTCAGAGTCTCATTGAATTTCCAGCTCTTCAGGTTTCTGTCATATGGTAACAGTGGCTTTAAGCATTGTCAGGAATTGTCATTAAGTTATTTGAGGAGTCCATGAAGAGGAAACTTAGTGCAAATGCATTCTGATTAAGCCAGGTAAATGTTTTATTTTACTGTTTTATATATGTTTATTTAAGTTGATGGAAGATATGTTTCTGAATTAATAATTTGATTCTTCAGAATCCTCTATATTGAAATCTCTCTTAGGTCTTTCGCCCTTATGCAAAGCACTGGCTTAGCCCCTTGCTGCAGCTGGCTGTTTCTGAAAACAATGGAGGAGAAGGAATTCACTACATGGTGGTTGAAATAGTAGCTACTATTCTCTCATGGACAGGCTTGGCTACTCCTACAGTAAGGAACAATATATGTCTGCATAGTCATATTATTACTCCTTTGCTGATACCCAAGTGATTGGATGGTTGACTATTCACACTTTTTTTTTGTCAGTTGTGGAGCCTAGGCAGGGCCTAGACACTACCCCTGAGCTTTTTCACTCAAGGCTAGTGCTCTTCCATTTTGAACCATAGCTCTACTTCTGGTGGTTAATTGGAGATAAGAGTTTCATGGACTGGCTTTGAGCCACAATCCTCAGATCTCAGCCTCTTGAGAAGCTAGGATTATAGGCATGAGCCACACTTAATGATGGCTTTCCTGTCTTAGCAGTTTTTGCTAACATTACTATGCTGCTCTTACACTACACCACCTCACTCTGCTTGTTTGTGTTTCATGCTTTTGATAATCCAGCTCTTTTTTTTTTTTTTTTGTCAGATGTGCAGCTTGAATTTGGAACTTGGGTGCTGTACCTGTTCTCTTTTTGCCCAGGACTAGCACTCTTCCACTTTGAGCCACGGTGCCACTTCTGGTTTTCTGGTGGAAGATAGAGTCTTTTTTTTTTTTTTTTGGGTCCCGTCGTGGGGCCTGAACTCTGGGCCTGAGCACTGTCCCTCAGCTCTTCAGCTCAAAGCTAGCGCTCTACCACTTGAGCCACAGAGCCACTTCCGGCTTTTTTCTTTTTGCTTATGTGGTGCTGAGGAATCGAACCCAGGGCCTCAGGCATGCAAGGCAAGCACTCTACCACTGAGCCAACTTCCCAGCCCGAAGATAGAGTCTTTTGGGGACTTTCCTGCCTGAGCTGGCTTTGAACTGTGATCTTCAGATCTCAGCCTCTTCAGTAGCTAGGATTATAGGCTTGAGCTACCAGTACCCTGCTCTGACTTGCCTTTATTACTGAGATATCACATGTTGGTTTTCTTTTGGATGCTGCTGCTTCTTGCCTGGAGCTTGGAAGCTAGATAACAGATGTATTAAAATTATGTTTATAATTAAGTGTCAGTAGACCCTGAGTATGAGGTTCTGGGGACTTCTGCTGCCTCAATTTCCTAGATTACTTTTTGGCACTTACTAGTTTATTTACACTGAGAATACGAATATCCATAATAGTAGAGATTGCTATGATAGTAATTGCCAGATGACTGCCTCCATGTTGTACTATCTATTATACACAGCCCTTAGGAAACATCATATACAAGCATTTCGCTTTCTCCTGTATTTATGTCTGGAGATACCTCTCTCATTGCACAGTAAACCATATCTAGATTTCTTAGTATTAATTTGATAAAAAGGCAATAATTTGTAGTTAGATTAATGACATTAAAAATTGAATGTGGTTGGTTTTACTTGGGAGCCATTGGGAAGACTGATGTCAATATCAGGAGTTCAGCTAATCTAATCCTGATAAGGTGGAACTGACATCTACTTGTGGAGCAACAGAATCATAAAAGGTAGTGACTGGGCTGCCTTCAATCTCCTCAGTTACATCACTGTCATTGTGGTAACATGAATCAAAACCTCTGGGACAGCAGAGGCTCATCAGGGGTCAGGCAGCTGAACTCTGTGGACGAGCTTCAAATAAGACTCATGTAGTTTTATGGACTTAGAGACAGATGGGGGACAGGGAGAATGCAAAAGAGAAGAACTCAGAGCCAAAAAAGTACTGGGTAATAGTGAAAGCAAGTCTTCCTGCTTATCACTCCTACCCCTTAAGGCAGGAGGTCTCATCAGAGGCATCTGATGAAAACCTCTGTTCTGGGCCTCAGAATAAAAGCACCTAGAAATATTGGCTCTGGGTAGATAATAATATGAAGACTATGGCAGCCAAGGCGTGAGCTCCCCATTGTACCCAAGTCTTGTGTGTAGCAGGTTTTTGTTTTTGTTTTGGTTGTTCTTTTAAAGAATAAGACTTTTACAACTAGGCGCAGGTAGCTCACACTTGTAATCCTAGCTCTTCAGGAGGCTGAGATCTGAGGATTGCAGTTCAAAGTCAGCCTGGTCAGCAAAGTCATGAGACTCTTATCTCGAGTTGACCACCAGAAAACCAGAAGTGGCGCTCTGACTCAAAGTGGTAGAGCATTAGCCTTGAGCAAAAAAGCTCAGGGACACTACTCCGGCCCTGAATTCAAACCCCCAGAACTGACCAAAAAAAAAATTGACTTTTGGATTAAAACTTGTTTTTCTACAATTGAATGCTGTATAATAATATAGAATTTTTCTGTTTTCAGGGGGTCCCTAAAAATGAAGTATTAGCAAATCGTTTGCTTCATTTCCTAATGAAACATGTCTTTTATCCAAAAAGAGCTGTGTTTAGACATAACCTTGAAATTATAAAAACTGTTGTGGAATGCTGGAAAGAGTGTCTCTCAATTCCTTACAGGTATTCATTTGCTAGTTACTGCCATCTTGTTTAGAAGTTGATGATAAAATGCTGCAAATAGTGATGATAATGATAGGTAATTATATGGAATGTGGAACATAATTTGAAGTAGAGTCCACTTATAAAGATATATTTTGTCACCCATAAAGTCACACCTTCCAGAATCTGTCACCAGAAGCATCCAGAGATGCAGACAGTACCTCTGATGGTCCTTGCTTTGTTTTGGCTCCCATCTGGCTTTGCCTCCATACCTTGTGCAATCTGCCCTGTACTGCTTCATTCCCAAAGGGGCCTATAGGACTTTGTTGTTTGATTAGCAGAGCCTAATGTAAGCTAAAACTTAACAAACAGGTTTTCATGTTGACTACTAGGGCTTTGGGCATTTACATTTCTAGGATATAAGAAATTCAAAACTACTGATGTCACAAAACTAGAATAAACTACATGAACAAAGGGAGGATATAAGAATGTGTTTTAGAGGTGAGAAAAGACATGTTTCTTATACTTCATAGCTGGAAATTGGCTTTAGAAAATGCATTATATCCTTCTAATTTCATTTTATGACAATATGCTTTCGCACTTCTGCTTTTATTTCAGGCTAATATTTGAAAAGTTTTCCAGCCAGAACACTAATTCTAAAGACAATTCCATAGGGATTCAGTTATTAGGCATTGTAATAGCCAATAATTTGCCTCCCTATGACCCAAAGTGTGGCATAGAGAGTATTGAGTAAGTATAATATTTTTTATTTGATTTTTTTAATTTTTAGGTTAACTTATATCTGGATTGGATTTTCAAAGTAGAGCAAGTTTCAGTTTGATACATTTAATGATCAGAACTTGAGTTTAAAGTATTTCTACCTAAAATTATGAAATTTGGTTAACAGACCAACTGGGAGTAGAAATATTTCTGCTGTGGAAAAAAAAGGGATATAGATTTGAAAAAAATTAGTGTAATCTTTTTCATGTATGAGTTGATTGATAAGAGGAGTTAGATTAAAATTGACATTTTCAGCATTTACCCTTGAAAATACATGGACTTAGTGAGAAGCTTAATTCAAGGGTCTTGACTGTGAAGGTGATGCAGCTCAATACTAACTGCTCTGTCCCTGGACTACCTTGCTTCTACTGTTTCAGCCCCATTAAGTCTCTCCTGAATGATGATTGTCACTTCTTTTGGTCAGGATGAGTGAGCTGTGTGAAGGGAAGGGCTCTAGTAAGATAGTGTTAAACTATCACAAAAGCCCTTTCCTCATCTTACTATTTAGGACTTTTGAACTTGGTGTTTACACTATGGTTGCTCTGTGTACTTTAGCCCAGTACTCTTGGCCTCTCCACTTGCTCTGGTTAGTTCTTTGTATCTACCTCTTCAGACTTGTCCTGCCAGCCCCTGGTGCTAGGTGGCATGTGACACCAGGGTTTAGGCAGCTATTGGCTCAGCACAGACATGCTCACTTTTAGACTTTTTTTGAGCTTTGGCTTCCACACCATAAACAACCTCACAGAGTAGTCGAAGGGCTAACAATTAATTTGTCTCTTTACAGAAGGTACAAGCCTTCTTGTTCTCAAAATTGTACTTTCCTTGCCTTTGCCATTGTAAGTGGCTTTTGACAGGGGTCAGTTCTGCATAGTTTTGAATAGTGGCTCTTCGTCTCCTGCAGTTTTCTGTGGCATCAGCCACAGTGACCAAAGTGTTCCCCTGTGGTTGAACAGTAGATTTGCATGGTTATATATATATATATCAGAGCCCTTAAGTCCATATGCAAGCATGTTTTCATACAAGCAATTTGCATCATGTTTTATATTCACACTTTCTTAATGTGTGCTATTATTATAAGAAAGAGATTATATTTTTGTGTCAAAGATCAATGGATTATTTTATGCATATTAACTTTCTGTATTTGTTGCAGATACTTTCAAGCTTTGGTTAATAATATGTCTTTTGTAAAATATAAAGAGGTATATGCAGCAGCAGCAGAAGTCCTAGGACTTGTTCTTCAATATATGTTTGAAAGAAAAAATGTGAGTGTGCTGAACAATTCTAAATGAGTGCTTCTTTTCCAGTTTTGTCTTTTAGTGACCCTTCACTTTATATGTATGTATTTTATACTATTTAAAACAGAGCAGGCATCTACACTGATTCATATCTCATTCTCTTTCCTCTGTATATCAAATATAATGCTTTTTTAATTTAAAGCTATCATAAGACTTCACATACCTGGAATCATGGCAAAACATTTGAAAATTGGATATTTTATTTTATTATTTTTTATTTTTTGTTGGTCATGGGGCTTGAACTCAGGGCCTGGGTGCTGTCCTTGATATTTTTCTGCTCAAGGCTAGCACTCTACCACTTGAGCCACAGCACCACTTCCAGCTTTTTCTTTTTATTTGGCACTGAGGAATTGAACCCAGGACTTCATGAATGCTAGGTAAGTACTCTACCACTAAGCCACATTCCCAGCCCTGTGACTTTTTATTTTAAGAATTGGGATAAGAATTTTTTAACCAGATTTTTTTTTGTAGAAGTTCTTTTAGGGAAAAGTATGCTGGTAGATATCTGTTGTGGTTCAGGTCAACTTATCCTGGTCAAGTCCTCCTTCCAGATGAATAAAGCTGTTAATAAGCAAGAACAGGATCTTTCAGGGAACCTTCCTCAGTCTCATGCGACCTACTCATTGTACATGATTTTGCAATGAGTGTTTAAATGTAACATACTTTGAGATCAGAGTATTCCACCGTTATGTGAAAATTACTTGTTAAATAGCACATATAACTACATGGGCCCATGTGCACAGCAGCATGCTCTAACTTAACTAGTGTAGCCTACGGAGGCTTTCTGCATCACACAGCATCCTCTTGTGTTAACACCCTGCTGTGGAGGGTTGCTTTTTGTGTTAAGATGCCATGCATGGGTTGGATGAAGCTTAGTTGCAGAGCACAGCATGTGTGAGGCCCTAGGTTCTACCTCCAGTGCCAGGATAAAAAAAAAGTTGCTGTACAGTTTCCCAGGATCTTTATTGCAGTTTTGCTGGAGTGGGGCAGACAGCTTCCTTCCCACCTTATTTAGTTTCTTTTGCGTTTTCCTAGCTGTTTTGGTCTTCTTATTCATTACTCTTCTATCCATCTCATCCAGCTTTATGGATTTAAAACTGTCTTTGTGTTAGTGATTCCCAAATTTGTGTCTAGCGTGTCTCTTAAGAGAAAGACAGGATGAGGTGAGGCTGGTGGTAAGAGGCTTAGGAGAATCCAGTAATCCTGGGTATATACCAAGGGATGCAGAAGGGCAAACTTGGCTTGCATTTTCGCTGCTCTGATTACTGGTTTGTTTATATTTAAGTAAAATTAACTCAAGGAAATACCCTCCCCTACCTCCTTGGCAAGATCAAACTTCACTTTATTTTATTGTCTCTGTGTTGGGTTGGCTGGGGCTTGAACTCAGGGCCTAGGTGTTGTCCCTGAGGTTTTTGTATACAAGACTAGTGCTCTACCATTTTGAGCCACAGCTCTATTTCTAGCTTTTTGGTAGTTAAATAGAGATAAGAGACTCACAGACTTTCCTGCCCTTGCTGGCTTTGAACTAGGATCCTCAGATCAGCCTGAGTAGTTAGGATTATAGATGTGAGCCACTGGCAGGGGGTGGGTGGGGGTGTAACTTCTAGCTTTTTTCGTGATTAGTTGGAGATAAGAGACTAATGGACTTTCCTCCTCAGGCTACCTTTGGACTTTGTGATCTTCAGATCTCAGCCTCTTGAGTAGCTAGGGTTACAAGCATAAACCACTGGCACCTGACTCATTTCAACTTAAGATAAACAATAAAGGCTTTTGTCTTACATAGTTTCTTTTTTCACAAACATTAAATTTGCGTAGTTAGTGTAGAAATTTGGTAAGTAAAACAAAACATGAGGAAGTAGAACATGTCTCTGCAAGCGTTGTCCATCTTTATTCCCAGCTCTGTGCACCAGGGTGTGTGTGTGTGCCTGCTCCTTTGTCTTTATCCATACTCTTCCATAACTTGCTTTGTATACTTGCTAGACTTATTTCTTCATGTCATTAAACAGTTTAAATAAAAAGACATATACTAAGCAATGGCTCTACCATAAAAAGATATACTCTCAGCCCCCCCAAAAACATATACTATAAATCAATAATAAAATATTAATTGAAAATACTGTATGTTGGGTTCAAATCCACCGACATTTGTGGTTAATATCATCCCTTGACTGACTGACCTTCCATCCTTCCTTCCCTCTTTCCTTATCTTCCTCTCTCTGTCTCTGTCTCTCTCTTTCTTTGGTGTAGGTGGTAAACCTTATTTTTAATACTTAACACAACTTTCCACTTTATGTATTTCAAAAACCCCTGATTATTTTAGGTGCTAGCAGAGTCGATACATGAACTGGTTGTAAAACAATTGAAACAACATCAAAATACTATGGAAGACAAATTTATTGTGTGCTTGAACAAAGTAGTAAAGGGCTTCCCTCGCCTTGCTGACAGGTAGGCTCAGTCAGCTGGGTGGGTTGTGGTAGGAGATGTTGGTAAGGTGATCAGTGCCCAATCCCTCACCAGCCCCTGTCCTGTCCTTTAGATTCTTGAATGCTGTATTCTTTCTCTTGCCAAAATTTCATGGAATAATGAAGACACTTTGTCTAGAGGTAATATGTTGTCGTGCAGAGGAAATAACAGACCTGTACTTCCAGCTGAAGAGCAAGGACTTTTTTCAAGTCATGAGACATAGGTAAGTGAATACCAGCCCCACACACTAGGATCCCATACATTTTCTCATTCACATATCTCATTAAACTCATGAAGTATTTAGAAGTTTTCATGAAAGGCATATTTGCATGATATGATTCTAAGAAGAAAAGATGAAGACAGTATAGGAATGTAATGTGGGGCTATTCATGTCCTCCCCTGAAAGGCCACATCCTGGGCCTTGAACACCTTACCTAAAAATAAAGCTAGTGTCTCTGGCTCTTCAGATTTGTGTGTGGTTTTGAGCTCCATAACTGTTTTGTCAGGTACAAGCCTTTTGTTATGTATTAAAATTGTCCTTTTATTTTCAAAATTATGATGTATCATAAAAGTAAATTTCAAAGATAAAGCTGCTGGTTACTTATTAGTCTTTTTAGTGTTTATCTATACAAATTATTGGTAAATGTATAATGTACTAGCAAACAATGTATGTCATTGTATTGTTACTCTTCAGTAAATATCTACTGTGTATAGGCATTACACTGAGTGCTTTGAGGAGTAAAAAAGCCAAAACAAAGGAAGTAGTCACTTGCTTCATTTAGAACCAAGACTATACTTTAACTTCATTGTCTGACATGATAGTTGCTAGAAATAACTTGATCCTCCCTTCCTTCTTTTTTTTTTCTTTTTTGCTTAAGGGGTTATTAGTTGGTGGTAGAAATTTTATGAGATAGGGCTAGTTGGAATTTCCTGGAGTGTGCCCTTAAAAGGTGTATGTTGTTGATTCCTCTTTCTCTCTTTTATATTTTATTCCTCCTTTTTTCTTTCTGAGACAGAGTTCAATGAAAACAGAAGTGGCTAACAGTGAAAGCAAAAATGGCTAACAGTATGGCTGAAGTGGTAGAGCACCTGCCTAGCAAGGATGAGGTCCTGAGTTCAAACTCCAGTACCACCAAAATAAAAGAAAAAAAATATAGAGTATCAACAAAAAAAGAGAAAGTATAATGATGTTGTTAAGTTTGTACGTTTTCAAGAATCTCTTTTTTTATTATAGAGATGATGAAAGACAAAAAGTGTGTTTGGACATAATTTATAAGATAATGGCAAAATTAAAACCAGTAGAACTCCGAGAACTTCTGAACCCTATCATGGAATTTGTCTCCCATCCTTCTCCAATGTGTAGGGAACAAATGTATAACATTGTCATGTGGATTTATGATAATTACAGGTAAGTTACATAATACTTAAATTTTTAAATCATATTTTATTTAACTGAGTGAATATGACATCAGAATATATTACTTTTTGCAGGGATTATGTGCATTTTAGTGATCTGGAACATAGTAGAACCTTATACCACATAATAATTGTTTAACAAATTTACTTTAATATATTGATTTCTATTGTTATTCTAAATCATTTCATGAATATTTGAAATTATTTAGACATCAGTTGCATTAAGAGTATATGAGTGTTCGCTTAAACGGCTTATTTTTGTAGCTTAAGTTTTAAGATCTGGCAAGATTAAGGAGGAAATTCTGCCAAGATGTGTCATCCCTCACAACCTATGCCTAGAGAGGAAGACAGTCTCAGAGGCTACATTATCCCTGGAAGTCAGAGTCCTCTGGGAAAAGCCAGACTTTTTTTCTTCAGTCTATACCACAGAGATAGAAAAGACTTTTAATGTTTTGTCTTTTTTGTTGTTGTTGTTAATTTTCTCAAACAGAGATCCAGAAAGTCAAATGGATGGTGACTCCCAGGAAATACTTAAATTGGCCAAAGATGTGTTGATTCAAGGATTGATTGATGAGAACCTTGGGCTTCAGTATGTGCTTCTCCTGGAATTATTGGACCGACATACTACATTTTAGGGACCTTGCTCTCGAGAGCAGCTTAGACTAATTCTATATGTTATGAGCATTTTCTCTGCTTCCTACATTCCCTCTGTGCTGGTGCAGTGTGGGTTATAATTTTTCAGTATGAAAATAATGATCTGCTTTGCACTTAACATCAACAGTCAGCGTCATACTCTACATATTAATATTGAGAGGCATGTTGGAAACCTTAAAAAATAAGCAGTCATATTATGAGTGATGAGTGTTGTGATCTAATGTCTACTCTAACTCATTATATGCGTGTCTGATCAAGGACTGGTTATGTAAGAAAGGCTCTAAGATTTTTATACAATTTGATATATCACTTTTTTTCCATTGGCAACGATTTTAAATTCATTAAGCCTTCAGAAGTTACATCTAGATTTCATAAACATTATTAAATTATTAAGTATAATAAAATAGTATTTAATTACTCTTTGGCTATAACCTATAATCTTGGAATGAACTGTTTTAGCAAAGCAGGAAGGATTATATGAAATTTTTTGTTGCTGTTGTCTGTGCTGGAGCTCAAACCCAGAGCCTTATATGTGCTACATAGCACTCTACCACTGAGCTACACTCTGGCTCTGAGATTTCTTTTATCTTTTGTGTGTGTGTGTGTGTGTGTGTGTGTATGTGTGTGTGTATGTGTGTGTGTGTGTGTGTGTGTGTGTGTGTGTGTGTGTGTTGGCACTGGAACTTGAGTACCTCATACTCTCACTTGGCTTTTTTTCTCAAATTGGAGCACTAGCAGTTGAACCACATCTATACTTCCAGCGTTTTTTTTTTTTTTTTTTTTAACTGGTTAATTGAAGATAAGAGTCTTACCAACTTTACTTCCTGGGCTAGATTCAAACCATGCCTCTCAGATCTCAACCTAAGCAGCTAGAATAAATATTGTGAGCCATCAGTGACTGGTCCTGAAACTCCTTAAAATGAATTTTCAGGGGACTGGGAAGGTGGCTCAGTGGTAGAGTGCTTGCCCTGCATGCATGAGGCCCTGGGTTCGATTCCTCGGTACCATATAAGCAGAAAAAGCCAGAAGTGGTGCTATGGCTCAAGTGATAGAGTGCTAGCTTTGAGCTGAAGAGCTGAGGGACAGCACCCAGGCCCAGAGTTAAGGCCCCATGATCAACCAAAAAAAAAAAAAAGTTTTCAGTTTCAACATTTTTTTTTATTTTATTTTATTTGTGACCATACTGTACAGAGGGGATTTTCAACATTGTTAACATTAATATAGTTACCATTGAAAGCTTCCCAGGGAGTAGAGACAGGAGCATAAAATCTCTCAATCCTTCACCTCATAATAATTACATTACAGTTTTAGGGATATACCTACTTCAGTGTGTTTTTACTTTTTGTAATTCAGATCATACTCTTTACATAGCTTTGGGTGTAGTTTTCCTGTCCATGACTGGAAAGCTATGTCCTTCCCACATAACACTGTATGCAATTGTTTCCTGCATTTGGCAGTCTCTGAGCATGTGCTCTTCTCTCTGTTTTTCAGATTAATTATTCGGAATTTCTGGAGCCATGAAACCAGATTACCATCAAATACCTTGGACCGATTATTGGCACTAAATTCTTTATATTCTCCTAAGATTGAAGTTCACTTTTTAAGTTTAGCAACAAATTTTCTTCTTGAAATGACCAGGATGAGCCCTGATTATCTGAACCCCATATTTGAGCATCCTCTGTCAGAGTGCGAATTTCAGGTGAAGTGCTTGTGTGTTGATCATGTAGTGAATGCCTCTAGCAGTGTCAAACCTGATTTCTTGTTTTTTTTTTTTGAAGGAACACACATTTCTTTCTAAGGCACTAACAGGCTTCTGGCCTGGAACTCACTATGCAGTTCTAAGCTGGCCTCAAACTTGCCTTTCTCCTGCCTCTGTCTCCCTAATTCTGGGATTACAATGAGCACCACTGCATTTGCTCTATTCTTGGGTTTTATTTTATTTTTGTCAGTACTTAGACTTGAACTCAGGGCCTCTTGCTTTCACTTGGCTTTTTTGCTCAAGTCTGATGCTCTTATCACTAGAGCCACCTCTACCACTGGCATTTTGGAGGTAAGATTCTCATGGACTTTCTGCCTGGGCTGGCTTCAAACTGAGATCCTCAGATTTCAGCCTCCTGAGTAGCTAGGATTACAGACATGAGGCACTAGCACTTGGTTTATTCTTGGATTTTAAATAAAAACATCTCAGTATTGCTGTACAAAGAAACTTTCTTCCTGCAGGAGTGTACCATTGATCCTGACTGGCGCTTCCGAAGTACTGTTCTCACTCCGATGTTTATTGAGACCCAGGCTTCTCTGAGCACCCCCCAGACCCAAACCCAGGAAGGCTTCCTCCAAACTCGAGGGCCAAAGACTGGACAAGTACGAGCCACCCAACAGCAATATGATTTTACTCCTACACAAACTACAGGTAAAAACCACCCCTATGCTTTGACCTATGGAAGCAGCATCTATTGCATGAACACTCTCCTTTGTGAGATTTTTTTTTTTTTTTTGGTCCGGTCGTGGGGCCTGAACTCTGGACCTGGACGCTGTCCCTCAGCTCTTCAGCTCAAGGCTAGCACTCTACCACTTGAGCCACAGCGCCACTTCCGGCTTTTTTCTTATGTGGTGCTGAGGAATCGAACCCAGGG